GTGTGGGTGTGAGAGAGAGAGTGTGAGTGTGTGTGTGTGTGGGAGAGAGAGTGTTATAGTGGGTGTGGGTGTGAGAGAGAGAGTGTGAGTGTGTGTGTGTGTGGGAGAGAGAGTGTTATAGTGGGTGTGGGTGTGAGAGAGAGAGTGTGAGTGTGTGTGTGTGTGGGAGAGAGAGTGTTATAGTGGGTGTGGGTGTGAGAGAGAGAGTGTGAGTGTGTGTGTGTGTGGGAGAGAGAGTGTTATAGTGGGTGTGGGTGTGAGAGAGAGAGTGTGAGTGTGTGTGTGTGTGGGAGAGAGAGTGTTATAGTGGGTGTGGGTGTGAGAGAGAGAGTGTGAGTGTGTGTGTGTGTGGGAGAGAGAGTGTTATAGTGGGTGTGGGTGTGAGAGAGAGAGTGTGAGTGTGTGTGTGTGTGGGAGAGAGAGTGTTATAGTGGGTGTGGGTGTGAGAGAGAGAGTGTGAGTGTGTGTGTGTGTGGGAGAGAGAGTGTTATAGTGGGTGTGGGTGTGAGAGAGAGAGTGTGAGTGTGTGTGTGTGTGGGAGAGAGAGTGTTATAGTGGGTGTGGGTGTGAGAGAGAGTGTTATAGTGTGTGTGAGAGAGAGAGTGTTATAGTGTGTGTGTGTGTGTGTGTGTGTGAGTGTGTGTGTGAATAATCTTCACCAGGCTCTCAGTAAAGCGCGAGTCCTGCTCTGAACGCAGTGTAAAGGTCTGAATCATTGATGAAGGTCCTGCTGTAATCCAGTACAGTCTGATAAGATCAGCGTCCGTCTGTCTCTAATGAGACCCATCATGAGTCCAGCACCGACGGAAGCCCAGCATTCACTCTGTCAGAAAACACAGAATCTGGACGTGAGCGTGTTGAGAAACATGTGCTGTATATTAATAGTGTGTGTGTTTCAGGTCATGAGCTCACTTCACTGTCATCGATCAGAATGCTCCAGACCAGCTGAGGCCAAACTCTCTCTCTCTCTCTCTTTCTCTTTCGCTCTCTCTCTCAAATTCAAATGAGCTTTATTGCATGACTTGCACAGTATTGCCAAAACATTGTCCATTACATGAATAAGGAATAAACGATTATATAATACATAAACAAAACAAGAAAAGATCTGTAAAATAATTAAGTAAATAAGTACGTGTACTTTTTATTTTTTTTCCCACAAACAAGAAAATATTAAAGACATTGTTTAAAATAAATTGCACAACAGTACATGTGAGAAATGCTCTTGCTTCAGTTTTGTCCGCTGGCTGACAGTCTGAGTGTGTGACAGGCTGATGCATATCGTGCTGCTGTGGGGATCATTTTGGAAGCTTCCCCTAAAATGTGACTTAATTTCTCTGTATTTGGTAATGCCATAAAATGTGGTTTAATTTGTAGGAATTTGGGGAAATGTGCAGCTCTAATGTTGTGATAGTAATCACAGTGCAGTAAGAAATGTTCCTCTGTCTCCAGCTCTCTCTGTGAGCACAGTGAACACAGTCTCTGTTCTCGCGGCTGCATCTCTCTCTATAGCCAGACAGTGAGCACTCAGTCTGTAGTTTGTCAGTGTCTTTCTTAATTTGTGATCTTTTACACAGCGCAGGTATTCTGCTGGTTTGTAGTCTCTTTTTAGGTCTAAATACAGCTCCATCTTCTTTTGTAATTTAGTGGCATCTTTCCAGTAAGCAATGTAATTGTGTTTTTGTAGCTGTGTGATGTGGTTGGGCCGGATTGTGCTGTGCTGGTTTGGGTGTAGTGTGAGCACCAGCTGTAGAAGGGCACTCTTCTGCAGGTTCTGCTCCTGCCACTGCAGGGCTTCAGTCTGGTAAGAGCTCGCGTCACTGCGTCTCCACACACACACACACACACACACACTATAACACTCTCTCACACACACACACACAAGCGCAGAGATTCGAGTAGCTGAGCTGTTTTCGATGTGGTCTTCAGCAGATCATGTGACAGATGAAATCATGTGGTTTAATGCGTTTGTTCATATGAGCTCATAACAACATACGGGCAGAAAACGTTCTTCTGCAGTATTTGTGTCGTTTTCCAGTACAAACGTCATTGAATCAGTACATTTGCTGCAGATATTAAGTCTTGCTTTCTGAAAAAATGATCACAATGATTTTCTACTTAAAACAAGAGCAACATCCATCAATGAGGACAGAAAAATAAACTTGTTTCCCTTTGAATTCATTTCAGCTTTCTGACTCCAGCGGCAGATGTTTGTTCTTGTTTGAATCATAAACGCACTTCCTTTTGACACCTTTTTCAGAAAACAAGAATCTTTGCGCTGGAAGACCAGACAAACACACAGAGCGAGAGCATCAGTTTGAGATGATTCCCGTCACGTATGTGTGGTGAAGCGTCTGCGTGCTAACGGCAGGTCAAAGGTCAGAGGCGTGCGCTCACAAAGGTCAAATCTGTGAAGGAACTGCGGAAGAGCCCAAAGGTCACACACACATGATCTTTAGAGGAGGAGGCTGATGAGGATGAAGCTGGAGCGCTTATCGATCGCATGGCTCATATAACAGCAGCGTCTCTGTCCGTCCACAAACACAAAGCACTGTGGGAAGCGTGCAGAGCTTGCTCTGCTCTGAACATCTACACACTCTCCTCAGATCAAACACGTCCATTTATTCATGCAGCCAGCAATTACAATCATCATTCACCACATCTGTTCAAACATAATCATTTAGTTACACATAAAGAAATAATTAGCCACACCCAAGAAGTGACATCAACTACAAACCAGCATTTGAAACTAGTTAACCTACAAGTTAGTTGAGTTTGTTATATCTACAGTCAGCGTTTGATTTGGATTCTCATCGTGAGCCAGTAGATCTTTCTTACTCTGATTCTCACAGCAAAGCTCTGAATGAACGGAAGTGAATCTGACTGCAGTCGTCTGAAGAGTTTCTGTGGGTTCCTCCAGGAGTTCTCTCACACACACACACTACATATATTTTACTATTCACACTACATGAACTCCTGACATGACAGTGAAACCGACTACAATCAAACGCCTCGGCGGAGCGGCAGACATCGTGATTTACCACAACAAATACAAGTGTGTGTGTGTGAGAGAGCGTGTGTGTATGCAGTGTGTGTGTGTGAGAGAGAGAGAGAGAGAGAGTGTGTGTGTGTGTGTGTGTGTGTGTGTGAGAGAGCGTGTGTGTATGCAGTGTGTGTGTGTGAGAGAGAGAGAGTGTGTGTGTGTGTGTGTGTGTGTG